AATTAATACTCATCACAATTAATACTCATCACAATTAATACTCATCACAATTAATACTCATCACAATTAATACTCACCACAATTAATACTCATCACAATTAATACTCACCACAATTAATACTCATCATAGTTAATATTAACTCATAAGACAGAAGCAGTTCACTGTATTAAGCAACTAACCTGGCGCAGGGAACTGCACAACGGAGTCGGTGTCGTAGTGACTCTTGAAGGTGATGGACGAACTGGGGACCTTCTGTGCCCACCGCCCCTTCGGGAGGTCTGCGCCCCCTGAGGTGGGGCTACTGGCGCCCGCCGCGGTCTCGCTCACCTTCTTCTTGGCCCACGCGGGCAACTGCCCGATGCTGAACCTGCAACACGAGGCTACGTGAGCACAACGAATTCAATAAAGGTTAATGTCTATAACATTGTTTCTGTTGCTTGATAGGAAAAAATACTATGCTACGTTACGCAACACGCGTCGCAACGCTACACGCAACACTCGCCCCACGCCACACGCAACACTCGCCCCACGCCACACGCAACACTCGCCCCACGCCACACGCAACACGCGCCCCACGCCACACGCAACACTCGCCCCACGCCACACGCAACACTCGCCCCACGCCACACACAACACGCGCCACAACGCCACACACAACACGCGCTGCCACGCAACACACCCGTAGCATGCCACACGCAACATACGCCCCACGCAACACGCGCAACCACGCAACACCTTGCCACACGCAACACACGCCACCACGCAACACGCCAGACCTGTAGTCAGGCTCCTCCATGTCGGGGTGTGAGGCGGCGAAGGGGTCAGCGCTGGAGGCTCTGTAGGGCTCTTCGCCGTAGTGGGGGTCGCTCAGCGAGGGGGTCGAGGGGGGCCTGGCAACAAACACTTCTTAGTAATGCTGACATTATTGTAATAATGAAATAAAATAATTAAACATGGTACAAGCGAATGCTGTTATTATTGGCATAAAAAATAAAAATATTAAACACGGTAAAAACTGAGGCTGAACTAAGGGGCATCAGTCGGCCCCAACTGAGGGCATCAAGAGGCACAAGTAAGGGCAGATGCTCATTAGTCATTCCAAACGTTACCTTCAGGCCCCGCTGGCACAGCAACCTAACCTATAGACAGCTTGGGGACAGAGGCTGACAAAGGCAGCACATCAGCATGACCATGGACAGGAGGAGAGCAGCACTCTCACCTGTGCAGAGCAGCACCTGTACAGAACATCACTCTCACCTGTGCAGAGCAGCAGCAGCAGCGTGCAGCAGTGCAGAGAGCCGTGCAGAGCAGCACTCTCACCTGTGCAGAGCAGCAGCAGCAGCGTGCAGCAGTGCAGAGGGCCGTGCAGAGCAGCACTCTCACCTGTGCAGAGCAGCAGCAGCAGCGTGCAGCAGTGCAGAGCAGCACTCTCACCTGTGCAGAGCAGCAGCAGCAGCGTGCAGCAGTGCAGAGGGCCGTGCAGGAGTCAGGAGGTCTGAGGTCGACTGACTCGCCCGTCGCGTCTCCCGCGTCGCGCGCTCCGCCTGCTGCGCCAGGCGAGCTACGATCGTCTGCGTCATGTCGTGGGGCAGCCTGTACGGGGACCGGTGTTAAAGGGGGGGTAGTGTCGTGGGGGTAAGGGTAGGTCGCGGTGGCAAGGGTAGATAGCGGGGGCAAGGGTAGGTCGCGAGGGGCAAGGGTAGGTCGCGGGGGCAAGGGTAGGTAGCGGGGCAAGGGTAGGTAGCGGGGCAAGGGTAGGTAGCGGGGTAAGGGTAGGTAGCGGGGGCAAGGGTAGGTAGCGGGGCAAAGGTAGGTAGCGTGGGCAAGGGTGCCTAACATATTAGAGGCACAGGTACATATTAGAAATAAATATAAAGTATGAATCATCAAAGCCAAAATATTGTAAATAACAAGTCAATAATAGGTCATGTTGAAGAATGTCTCTCGACAGGCAAGCCAAGCTTTGAACTGCGTCCGTATCTCCAGAGCGGAAGTCATTTGAAGTGCGGGCCATTTGGGCACATCCCGGGATAATTGGACAAGGTAAGAAAACGACAAGGATAAGACAAGAAAACAAATGCACCTCCAGACAAAGACACAACACCTCCAGACAAAGACACAGCACCTCCAGACAAAGACACAGCACCTCCAGACAAAGACACAGCATCTCCAGACAAAGACACAGCACCTCTGGACGAAGACACAGCACCTCCAGACAAAGATGCAGCACCTCTAGGACACAGCACCTCCAGACAAAGACACAGCACCTCCAGACAAAGACAGCACCTCCAGACAAAGACACAGCACCTCCAGACAAAGATGCAGCCGTCGCCGGAGACGCTGATGAGATGGCGGCCGTCGTGCGTGAACTTGAGTCCCGTGACGAGCTCCGAGTGGCCGTACATGGTGGCCAGACACTCGGCCGTGTAATAGTCGTAGATGGACATGTTCTTGTCCGTACAACTGGTGGCCGCGTAGATACCGCTGGGGTCCAGTACTACCTGTAGGCACGCAGGTCGTGGTCAACATGGTAGAAAGAATTCATTTAATTACTGTTTTCATTCCATGTAGCAATATAGGACAGCTGTTGAATTTATTCAATCGTTTTCATCAGTAAAACTATTGGCATTGATCATAAATCGAATAGCGGACATCAAGGTTAACATTATCAGACTGATGTCGTCGCCACCTAACGCAGACATAACATTATTCAAAGGATATATATATCTTTTGAATAATTGGAATAATGTTCATATTATATGACATATATCCTTTGAATATATATATTCGTGATTAATCACGAATATAACATGAAGGATACCGAGGACTCGGGGTTTTTGCCTCCACTACATTAAGGAGGCTGAAGACTCGGGGCCTTTACCTCCACTACTGGAAGGAGACTGACAACTAGGGGCCTTTGGCTCTATTACATGAAGGAGTCTTAGGTCTCGAGGCCTTTAGATGCACGGAACCAATACCTTGATAAGAGAGCCGTCGTCGCCCACGGCGCCCTTGAAGGACTTGGAAGGCTTGCCGGAGTTGACGCTGTAGACGCGGATGCTGCGGTCCTGGCATGCGGTCAGGATATGGCGCTGCCCGTAGTCCACCTGAGGGAGGGGAGAGAGAGTCAAGGCAACGGTGACGTTTATAACAATAAACTGTTCACAGTGAAAGTACGCAAGAAAGAAAACTGTTTACGGTGAAGATATCTCAAAAAGTTCTCACCTCCATGTCGTAAAGTGTAGTTTTCCCAGCGATGTTGTGGCCTCTGTTGAAGGACACCTCGTTGGCGTTGTTCTGTAAGAATGAATTTACATCATACCGCCATCATCAAAGTTACATCCACAGTTTGAGTTGCCTAATTACTATGACTATTTCATGTTGTTTTACGCTGATTCTAAATGATGCGTTTAAATGCAAACAGATACGTGGGAATGCTTCGTTTTTAATATTTTTGCACTTGATGGATAATGTCGGTGTTTGATGAGAGAAGCAAATGGAGTGAGGGTAACGCGTGCACCGAGTGTAAGATGGAGGGTAAAAATGAAGTTTAGATGGAGGGTAATACAAGAGGGTAACATAAGGTGTAACACAACAAGGTAACAAGGAGGGTAACACAAGAGAATAACAATAAGGATGTGTTACTGACGATGGTGGCAGAGCGGAAGATGATGGAGCGGTCAGCGCTGCAGGAGACGAGCTGCAGGCCCTGCTGCTGGCCCTGGCAGAAGCGCACGCTCGTGATGGCCGAGGAGTGGTCGTCAAGCGTCTGCAGGAACCTGTAGTCCTGTAACAACAATAAAACATTACATATACTCCATTTAATTATAAACAAACAAAATATTCAATGTGCTTCATCGACCAATAAAACATTAAATATACTTCATTACATAAGAAACAAACAAACTATTCAACATGCTTCATCGAGCAATAGAGAAATTAATTAATATACTTTGTCAAACAATAAACTCAAGCTTCATACTTCGATAAGATAATTAATAATAGGTAAATAATAATAATAAAATAATAATAATAACTAAATAATAAACTGGGATGGATTTCTAAGGCTTACTTGGGACGTGAGTGAGGCTCACCTGGGACGTGGATGAGGCTCACCTGGGACGTGAGTGAGGCTCACCTGGGACGTGGATGAGGCTCACCTGGGACGTGGATGAGGCTCACCTGGGACGTGGGTGAGGCTCACCTGAGACGTGAGTGAGGCTCACCTGAGACGTGGGTGAGGCTCACCTGAGACGTGAGTGAGGCTCACCTGGGACGTGGCTGAGGCTCACCTGGGCCACATCGAAGACATGTATGAGCCTGTCTCGTGAGGCTGAGGCCAGGAGGCTGTGCCGTGTGTCAGGGCGCGTGTACTCGAGGCACAGCACCTCAGCGTCGTGCGCCTCAATCTTGCACACCTCCTCCAGTCCCTGTAGCTCGTGGATCCTGGGCACAGTTAGCAGTTAGCACGGCAGTTACTAGTGCAGTTAGCACTGCAGCACTAATGCTGCTAGCACTGCAGCACTAATGCTGCTAGCACTGCGTTTATAATGCTGCTAGCACTGCAACTGTCACCGCAGTTATTGTTAAAGTTAATACTGTAGTTATTGCAGCAGTTAATACTGCAGTATTCATCTAAGTTTAAGAGCAGTTATCATAAAGGGTTACATTAGCATAGCGAATAGTTATCACAGCAGTATACTTATGATATCATTACAAACGGTACCGGTACTGTAGAACACAATTGTGGTTACGGTTAACTTTCAATGCGACTTCTTGGACCACTTGTTGGCAGACCAGCCGCCGTACCTTGACTGACCGGATGTTCCCACCCCCTCCGACTGACCGGATGTTCCCACCCCCTTCGACTGACCGGATGTTCCCACCCCTTCCGACTGACCGGATGTTGCCAGCTCGATCCCCCGACGCAATATGTCGGCCGTCGGGACTGATTTTAATGCAGCGCACGCCGTTCCTGGAGTCGTACGACACGTCGCCCCCGCCCCCCTGCTGCTGCTGCTGTTGTTGTTTGTCCTGCGCTCCTGCAGGACTGATGTCTGAGTCCTTGAGATAGTTCAGGTCGGGGTCTACGTACAGCACCCGCAGTAGCTCCTGCATCACAACATCAACATTACCAAACCAGTGCCATCACCATAACATGAGCATCAAAACAATAAGGGCATCACCACAACATGGGTATCACCACAAAATTGCCGGCAGGGATTGCCAGTATTAGCAATCATCTGCTTTGACCATCACTCAAGTTGAAACTATTTACTAGAGGATGCCGGGGATGTTGAGGAATCACTCACGTTACTGTAGATGTTGCGGGTGTAGAGGGGATGTTGGGGCAGTTCTGAGGCGAGGTTCCACACCCTGATGGTGTCGTCAGACGAACACGTCACGAAGGAACCCTCGGGCAGGAGCCCTGCCGACGAGGGGCGCTGTGCCCTCATGCCACCGCCCCCTGATGCCGCCTGAGGGTAACTCTCCACCCCCCAGATGCAGGCCGAATGGTAGAGGTACGAGTGCGACTTGCCGACCTGAGGGAAAGAGGGTATGGTGTCATATATGCTGAATAAATATACTTTTATGACCAGAAAATTATTTGAGGTTCAATGTGAAGAAGTATCTGATATGTGGGAAAATTATTTATCGGTTCAAATGTTAGATTTTGGCATAGAGTATTGACAGTACAAATGCTGATCAATTTAGAAGCCTGTTTTGTATTACAAATCATCAGATGAAACCGAGCGTTGTGAAAAAGTTACAGAGAAGGACAAACTTTCAAAATGGAAAATCAACGCAAATTCAGTACGGGCCAGCAACGTAAACTCAGTACGGGCCATTAACATAAACTCAGTACGGGCCATCAACGTAAACTCAGTACGGGCCAGCAACATAAACTCAGTACGGGCCATCAACGTAAACTCAGTACGGGCCAGCAACATAAACTCAGTATGGGCCAGCAACGTCAGTACGGGCCATCAACGTACCCTCTTGATGTCCGTGACGTCCCAGACGTAGAGGGAGTGATCGTTGTAGACGGCCGTGAGCTTGTGGTTGAGATGGTCGTACGCTACGGCCACCGTATCTGGGTACCTGGCCGTACCAGGGTGCTGTCCCATATGTCTGGGGGCAGGGGTACAGTTAGCAGTGCACGCAAGGGACGGGGAGATGAACTGTGCAGTAAAAAGCTGTACAGTTAGCAATTAACATTTCAAAATTCGTTTCCGAAATAACTAATAGCATTTATTAGCTATTAGTTTTCATATTAAATTTATTTATTAATTAACTATTAACATTTCATAATAAATCATATTATGAAAGTACTTCTGAATACGTACGGCACGAGCAGTACTTTAGGTCTCACTTGGCACCACGACCATCAGGTGACCGCCCTGCCCCTCATTCACCCTCCCTGCCTCTCATTCACCCTCCCTGCCCCTCACTCACCCCCCTGCTCTCACTCGCCCTCCTGCCCCTCACTTGCCCCCTGCCCCTCACTCGCCCCTTGTCCCTCACTTGCCCCCTGCCCCTCACTCGCCCCTTGTCCCTCACTTAGCCTTTTCATATCTAGATTCAGAAATTAATTTGAAGCTGTTGAAACGTATTACTTTAACAGGTAGGACGGTTGAGGTAACGCGGAACTTACGTTGATGTTAGTTCTTGCATCGAAATATAATGATATAATTTTTGCTACATCGGTTAATAGGGGTTTGAGAATTTTTTGGTTAAGGAAGGAGACTACTGCATTAATTATTTTTATCCTATTTTTACGCTTTGCTCTGCCCTTTGCATTATTGATGTGTGTATATTCAGTGTCTTAACACGTTGCTGAATTTTTGTCAGAAATAGTTGTACCAGAATATAGAATAATGTTCATAAATGTGTTATTGCTGATTATTGCGAGTATGTATGCTGAATTTTTGTCAGAAATAGTTGTACCAGAATATAGAATAATGTTCATAAATGTGTTATTGCTGATTATTGCGAGTTTGTATGATGCATAAAGCCAGTAATATATCATACTCTAAGCGGCGTTTCTGCCAATCCATCTTTTTTGCATAGGTTATGTAAATGTGTAAAAAAAGTATAATAAACGTTTAATTGTGTGGACAGAATTCTTTAGTTATCCCCGAAAGAAAATAAAGTTAGCCTAAAGAGAGCAGGTATAGGGCAGCGTATGGGGCGTGTCGGCTGTAAGTGAGCCGGAGCCCGGCAGGACTGATTCGTTGCAGCCGTGCGCCAGCGCCCAAATAAGGCCTTACGCAGAACGTTTTGAACCCCGTAATAAGCGGACATCCTTGCTGGATTCCTGCTTCCCCCATGCTTCTATCATGCTCTTGGTTCAGCGCCGGCCCAGCTCCTACACTGCTTCTAATTTTGACTGGGTATACTTTGATTCTTGATCTGAATGAATCTAATTAGTATCCATAACTTGATGAATCATCACTCGTGTCGTTAAACTGCAGGAACTTCACTTCTGTTCTGAAATAAAAAATATCCACAAAGAAAGTCGCTGCCTAAATAAAACACTAAAATAAATTTGAATACCGTAACTCACGCATCAGCATTTTGATGATGATAACAATAGGAGTTATTTTATTGATCTCGAGCGTCAACTCTACTTCGTACTCAAGAACAATGGTTATTATAACACAATCATAATGTTTTGGCTTGAATATATGTGAATATCACACTGCCCTTTACATACACGAGAAAGAAAGAAAGCTGCCATCTACGTACAGTTGAAAGACGAGTGTTTTCTAGGTACATTTAAGAGCAAGAGATGTGCTCTAATTACAGGCGTACGAAAAGGTGCTATCTATTTCCAGCCTGTAGATAGGTGCCCTTATATTTACAGCATGGAGAATCCGTACATTCTATATGTTTAGGCTTTAATAAGGAGAAGGCCAGTAATATCATGGCTTTAAAAAAAGTTGCCCTAAAACGGAAGGCTTTCCCCTCATCCGAGGGCGCGGCAAGCCAGTGATCGGTCCATTGAAGGTGTGGGTGTGTGGAGGTTGATGAGGATAAGGAGGAGGATAAAGAGGATGAGGAGGAGGATAAAGAGGATAAGGAGGAGGATAAAGAGGATGAGGAGGAGGATAAAGAGGATAAGGAGGAGGATGAGGAGGAGGATGAGGAGGAGGATGAAGAGGATGAGGAGGAAGCATCTTGAGGCTTGTTTGGCTTATCAAGTGGAGCCTTCCTGCAGCACATATAGTGCTGCTAGTTTGTTGAAGTTTAAAGTTACATTTGATTGAGGTTCATATAGTTACATTTGGTTGAAATTCAAAGTTACATTTGGTTGAAGTTTAAAGTTACATTTGAAGAAGTTTATAGTTAACTGGGAGGTTAACTCAGCGTTGCTGCCAAATTATGGTATGGATCCCTTGGAGCATGGCTAAAATGTTATATATACAGCACACCTAAGATGCAGAAAACAAAGCGATAGAAAATCAAACGTCAAGATGTGGCGTTTCTCCTTGATTAATTAATTATTAAGCGCTAAATTAAATTATAGCGCCAATGATTTGTTATCTCTGATCTGATTTATTTAATATCCTGCGACTTCAGACACCTTCCCCCCCCCCCATGCACTACCGGCAGACTTGATTCCTAAAGACGACGGTTGTGAGAGCGTAAGAGATGTTCAGATGATATTGAATTTCCTTATAGATATTACATAAGTACAATATACTCTCTACGTCACGATGAATAATCCAACAAAAACTAATTGAGATAAATTTTTTTGAAACTTGAACGAGACCTTATTAGGCCTCTCATCCACACTCTATGATGAACGACAAAGTTTTTGGTCTTTTCAGCTAAAGTTAGAAACAATGTCACCAACTGCTTTATCAAATACCTCCTCAAATTCGTCATTACCTTCACGTTGCACATTTTATTTTTTTTATTTTTTTTACTTTTTTTTTAGAAAAGGCCTCCCACACATCAACCCACATGGCGGACCGGCCATGACCGACCAAGAGCAGACCTCACCTGACGGCTTCGAACGACGCTCTGGCACTTGAGGACGCGAAAATACTATCTATCTAATATAATGTCTTCGTGTACAAGCTTTCAGCCGGCAAAACTAACTTGGAAAGCACTTGCCGCTAATATTATCCGATAACTTGTCGCTAATTTAGTCGGTTAAGTTACCGCTAATATTAGCGGCTAGAACTTTACCCGTGTATAAGCACCTAGCTGTACCCACCTTATGACCACGCACCACCTCCAGGTACCCACTGGGTACTGGAAAACACTGTCTACATAATAAATAAATATAAATAAATAAGAAATAAATAAAAAATAAATACATTTTATCAATAAAGTGGTAATTTTGTTAAGAACTTGACCCACCTTATGACCACGCGCCACCTCCAGGTACCAGAACTTGACGTGGCGGTTACCCACGGTGACGAAGTAGGAGCCGTTCTCAGCAAAGCTCACCGCCTTCACTTTGCTCGAGAACTTGTTCGACGCAACCTGGGGGCACCATGGTTACATTTATTATATAATAAAAGCTTAACATAATATTCCTTTTCGTAAATAATCTCCCAGAATTATCAATATCAATGCTCTTTATGTTATAACAAGGATTAACCAAGGAGCTCTCGAACATGCGCGTTAGGAACCATGATAGGATGACGGTATACGTTACATTTAATACAAATCATCTTCAATGCATTTTATCAATAAAGTGGTAATTTTAAAAATAATTTTTCAAGAACTTTTCCTGATCTCAATATGATAGGAAAATATATACAGCAGAGATATTGATAAATAATCAGTAAATAAATACCTATATAATTAGACTGATGGAGAAAAATATAAAATAGACTAAATGCAATAAATAGACTGATAAAGAAAAAGATAAAATAAATAGACGGATGCAATAAATAGACTGATAGCACAAGCACAATTAACATATATAGTAAACATGTAAGAGCAGGACGAGGGTATTTTACCTTGATGCCGTTCTTCCAGTCCCAGACGTTGACGATCATGTCGTGCTGTGACCCCACGGACACGACATACTTCTGCGTTGGTGACACGGCCTGCACCAACACATAAACGTTGTAGTGCACCAAAACACAAATGTTGTAGTGCCCAACACATAAATGTTGTAGTGCACCAAGACTCAGTGTACAACTGTATATGCACCAGCACACTAACACACACGACATCATACTTCACGAAAGTCGCCGTATAGCTGCACCACCAACTTTGGTGATGTAACCACGAAATAAAACAACAGAAGTTACAGAACTGATGACACGACACTAGCACCACACACGCTGGGTATACTCACGACACACGCTGGGTATACTCACGACACACGCTGGTATACTCACCACACACGCTGGGTATACTCACGACACACGCTGGTATACTCACGACACACGCTGGTATACTCACCACACACGCTGGGTATACTCACGACACACGCTGGTATACTCACGACACACGCTGGTATACTCACCACACACGCTGGGTATACTCAC